TTACAGTAATTGCAGATATTTATTGAAAGTCTTACCTGCTAGTAAACAAGAAAAAGAAGCTTTTTCCTACTATCGAGCAGGCATGGCGGCACAAGGAAAAGGCCGTTATGCAGAAGCCTTACAAAATTATTATGAAGCATTACAAGTTGAGGAAGATCCATATGATCGTAGTTATACTCTTTATAACATTGGGTTAATTTATGGAAATACTGGGAAATATACCCAAGCTTTAGAATTTTATCATCAGGCATTAGCTTTAAATTCCAATCTCCCCCAGGCATTAAATAATATTGCAGTGATTTATCATTCACAAGCTTTACGCGCTCAAACCTTTGAAGAAGATGAATATACAGAATTATCCAAAGAGTTATTTGATAAAGCCGCACAATATTGGATTCAAGCTTTAAAACTAGCTCCAGATAATTACCCAGGAGCGCGAAACTGGTTAAAAGTGACAGGTCGATTACGTGAGAATGATTCTTAATTTTTTGAAAGATTTAACTAAAAAATCATAGACCCTTCAAAAATTAACCGTAACTTATTGTACAATAATAATCGATTACTATATTTGTTAGTCGCTATAATGGCAGGTAGAAGTTGGAAAGTATATTTATTCGGAGATATTTTAATATGTTAACTCAAAATGGTAAAAACAATTTAAATAAAGGTTACGTTACTCAAATTATTGGTCCTGTACTAGATATTGAATTTTCAGATGGAAATTTACCACCTATTTACAGTGCTATTAAAATTGAATTAGAAGATGGAAGCTCAACAATTGTTGAAGTTCAACAATTACTAGGAGACAATAAAATTCGTGCAGTATCAATGCGTTCGACGGATGGTCTAAAACGTGGTGTTGAAGCCATCGATTTAGGGGCTCCGATTAGTGTACCTGTAGGCACACCAACATTAGGACGGATTTTCAACGTAATTGGAGAGCCAGTTGATGAACAAGGAGATGTTTCATCAAATGAAACATTACCAATTCATAGAGACGCACCTGCATTTACAGAATTAGAAACGAAACCATCCATTTTTGAAACTGGAATCAAAGTAGTTGATTTATTAGCACCGTACCGTCGTGGTGGTAAAATCGGTCTTTTTGGTGGGGCAGGAGTAGGAAAAACTGTATTAATTATGGAATTAATTAATAATATTGCTAAAGCACACGGTGGAGTATCTGTCTTTGGTGGTGTAGGAGAACGTACTCGTGAAGGAAACGATTTATATGAAGAAATGAAAGAATCGGGAGTTATCAACGAAAGTAATTTCTCAGAATCAAAAGTAGCGTTAGTATATGGTCAAATGAATGAACCACCAGGAGCGCGGATGCGTGTAGGTTTAACAGCTTTAACGATGGCAGAATATTTCCGTGATGTTAACAAGCAAGATGTTTTATTATTCATTGATAATATCTTCCGTTTTACACAAGCTGGTTCAGAAGTATCAGCGTTACTAGGTCGTATGCCGTCAGCTGTAGGTTATCAACCAACTTTAGCAACTGAAATGGGTGCTTTACAAGAACGTATTACTTCAACAACACAAGGTTCAATTACTTCTATTCAAGCGGTTTACGTACCTGCGGATGATTTAACAGATCCAGCACCAGCGACAACATTTGCTCATTTAGATGCAACAACTGTATTATCACGTAATTTAGCTGCAAAAGGTATTTACCCGGCTGTAGATCCACTAGATTCAACATCAACAATGTTACAACCAGGGATTGTAAGCGATACACATTACCAAGTTGCGGAAACTGTCAAAGAAACCTTACAACGCTATAAGGAACTACAAGATATTATCGCAATTTAGGAATTGATGAGTTATCGGAAGAAGACCGTTTAACAGTAGCGCGTGCACGAAAAGTAGAAAGATTCTTATCACAACCATTCTTCGTTGCCGAAATTTTCACAGGTTCACCTGGGAAATACGTAAGTTTAGAAGATACAATCAAGGGTTTTACTATGGTTTTAGGTGGTGAATTAGATGATTTACCAGAACAAGCTTTTTACCTTGTAGGAAATATTGATGAAGCAATTGCAAAAGCAGAAACTCTAAAATAAGGAGTAAAAATATATGGTTATGAACATTCGTGTACTTACCCCAGATAGAGTAATTTGCTCGACGACAGCAGATGAAGTAGTTTTACCTGGTTTTAACGGGTCAAGTAGGAGTACTAGATGGTCACGCAGCTTTGATCACAGCATTAGACACTGGTTTATTACGAATCAAGTTAGACGAAAAATGGACACCGATCATTTTATGTGGAGGATTAGCTGAAATTGATCGAAATCGCGTTACCGTTTTAGTCAATGATGTGGAAGAACTAATCAATATTGAATTAAATGAAGCAACAAAAGAATTAGAAAAAGCAGCAGTTGCAGTAGAAGAAGCTGAGACGAGCAAAGCTCGACTTGATGCTTCTGTGGAATTAAAGAAAGCAACAGCGCGATTAGAAGCTATGAATTACTTATCATAGAGTTTAATTAGCTTTTTCTTATTAAGAACTAGAGTTTTTACTCAAAACTCTAGTTCTTAAGAAACTTTAATTATTATAAAAATATTCATTTCTTCTATATGCCAACAAATTCTAATTTTAATTTTACCAAGAATTCCGCTGTCACACTGGAGTTACCCTTTTCAGAACACGTCGAAGAGTTACGTCAACGCCTTTTCTTGATTGTTGGAATAATTTTACTCTTTACGTGTTTCGCATTCGTAGAAGTCAAAAGTCTAGTTAAAATTTTAGAACTTCCGATTAATAACGTCAAATTTTTCAACTCTCGCCCGGGGAATATTTTATTTCGACTGTGAAGATAGCTTTTTATACAGGCTTACTTTTTTCAAGCCCATTTGTGATTGGTCAGCTCATTTTATTTTTATTGCCGGGTTTAACCAAAAAAGAGACAAAAGTTATTCTTCCGTTATTAATTAGTTCTTTAATTTTGTTTGGTTTGGGATTAGCGTTTTCTTATTACACACTAATTCCAGCAGCACTCAACTTCTTTTTAAACTATAGTGAAGAAGTGCTAGAACCATTTTGGTCCTTTGATCAATATTTTGAATTCATTTTGGTCTTGTTTTACAGTACAGGACTTGCGTTTCAAATTCCTATTCTTCAAATTTTAGTAGGATTATTAAATATTGTTTCACCAAAACAAATGTTAGGTGCATGGCGTTATATTATCTTAGTTTCAACCATTCTTGGTGCAATTCTAACGCCTTCTACTGATCCATTAACACAATTATTATTGTCGTTCGCAATATTATTACTATATTTTTCTGGATTGGGAATCTTGTTTTAATAAAAAATTAACCTATATATATTATAGACTATTTATACGTACTAAGTATTTAAATTATGGCAACTAACAAGTTTTTTAAAAGTATTTTATTTGCTTCTACGATTGCTGTAAGTGTTTTTGGGTTTTTGTTCAAAATTCATTAGCATATCCAGTTTTTGCACAGCAAAGTTATTCGAATCCTCGTGCAGCAAATGGAAAATTAGCTTGTGCCAATTGTCATTTAAATCAAAAGCAATTGAAATTGAAGCAACACAAGCTGTTTTACCGAATTCAGTCTTCGAAGTAGAAATTAAAGTCCCATATGATACAAGTAAACAACAAATTGGTGCAAATGGAAAAAAAGCTGATTTAAATGTTGGTGGTATTTTAATTTTACCAAAAGGTTTTAAGTTAGCCGCAAAAAATCAAATTTCTGCCGAAATCAAAGCAAAAAATAAAGGTGTTTTTATTTCACCTTATAGCACTGAATTAGATAATATTTTTGTCGTTGGACCTATCGCAGGAAAAACACATCAAGAACTAATATTCCCAGTTGTTGCACCAGATCCGGAAAAAAATTCAGAAATCAAATATCTGACGTATCCATTTTACGCAGGTGGAAACCGTGGACGAGGACAGGTATATCCAACTGGTGAAAAAAGTAATGTAAACATTTTCGGAGCAACACAAGCAGGTCAAATTACCGAAATTACAACTTCGGAAAAAGGTGATTCTACAATTGGAATTTTAAACTCAAATGGGGTTAAAACATCACAAATTGTCCCATCTGGATTAACCTTACTTGTTAAAACCGGTGATATTGTTCAAACAGAACAAGCTTTAAATATTGATCCAAATGTTGGTGGATTCGGCCAAGAAGAGTCAGAAATCGTTTACAAAATCCAATTCGAATTGTTGGCTATTTAGCTTTTTGTTTCTTTGCTTTGCTAACACAGATTTTATTAGTTTTAAAGAAAAAACAATTTGAAAAAGTTCAAGCAGCTGAGCTTAACTTTTAATTTTTTAATAAGGAATGACAAAATTCTTTGTCATTCCTAATTTTATATTACTCCTTATTTTAAATAATTATAAAGTGAATCTTAAAACTAATTTAATATTACTTTACTACCTTATATTATACTACTTAAATTTAATATAAAGAAATTTTTTTAATTTTATTTAAATGTTTGTTTTAAACGACTTGCTTTTCCTTTTAAATTTCGTAAATAATACAGTTTTGCACGACGTACTTTTGATGATCGTAGTACTTGAATTGAATCAATTTTTGGTGAGTGAACTAAAAAATTCTTTCAATTCCAATACCTTGTAGAGTTTTTCGAACGGTTATTGTAGTATTTATAGAAGTATTTTTTTGGCAATAATCGTTCCTTCATAAAATTGAACTCGTTCTTTGTTTCCCTCAATAATTTTAACACCAACTTTCACATTATCTCCAATTCGTAATAATGGAATGTCTTTTTTTAAAAAACTTGTTTCAATCTCACGGATTGTTTCTTGAATATTTAATTTAGCCATAGGAGTTAACTAATAAATGTAATTGGATTTTTAGAAACAAGTTTACAACTAGATTTTAAAAAAGACAATAGTTAATTCTATTACTGCATTCGACTGGGTTCGAACCAGTGATGTTCCAGAGGAAAACGGATTATGAGTCCGGTGCCTTCAACCACTCGGCCACGAATGCAAGGATGGAGCTGATGGGAATCGAACCCACGTCCATTTTAAACTATTTTACTACACTTACTCACAGGCATAGTTCGGAAGAACAAAATTGATCATTAGAATATTCTAAACTAGAAACCCACTTAATGTTAATTTCCAGTGAAACAATAGAAAAAAAATAATAATTAAACAGCAAATTTAACTAAATTTAACTGATTAATTTTAAAAATAGAATTTACAAAAGTAAAAAACGATAAAATTATAGTTTTAGCAATTATTATAAAATATGTAAGTTTTTAACGAAGAATACATGCTTCGACCTGATTCATGAAGTAATTCATTCAAATGTCAAAACCAAAACAGCCCCACTAGACAGTTCGTTTGTTTATCCATAAGCATGAAGGGAATCGAACCCTTGACTTTCAGAATCGGAATCTGATGCTCTATCCACTGAGCTACATGCTTTTAGTTAGAAACGACCTAATTATATCTTAGATGATATAAAATTTTCAAAAAGTAACCAACTTTTTGAAAATTTTAATAACTTAAAGATTTAGAAGTAAATTTTCCCACCACCCCATTTCTCTGTCACGATTTTTGGTTGTAATAAAATATGACCAGCGATCGCATATAAATCATCATCTGTTACAGAACGCATACGTGGATATAAATCTGCACTCTTAATACTTGGATGAACTTCCGCAATTGATTCTAATCCATCATATGAAGTTGGATTTTTTAAGAAGTCAACTAATGCATCAATATTATCACGACGTGGTGTTGCTAAACTTAAAGCTTCTGGATCTAAACCAACATTTGGATTCGTTTTTGTAATTCCTCCTACGTGACAAGCACCGCATGTTGCATTGAATAAACGTTTACCACGTTTTACTTGCTCTGGAGTTAAAACAATTGTTTTCCCTGATCCATCTTTTACGACTGTCCGAGTCGCTTCATCTAGATCAATTGCTGAAGCTGTCGTTACAAAAATACCAAAAACACATACAAATAAAATAGAAAGAAATTGCGAATACTTTTTAAGCATAAGTTCCTAAAATTAGTTATAAACTTGAAACCAAGATTTTAATGAAGGTTTGTTAGCTATCTTCCTTGTTTTTTGATTTTGCAATAGTGGATACTAATCCCCGTAAACGAATATTTTCCCAACCGGCTACTAAAACAGCCAAAATAATCAAAACTTGACTAAATAATAAAATTGGATCTAAACGCCAACCATGAACTATTAAGATACAACTGTACAAAAAGCTAATGGTTGAAAAAAAATATCTTCATCACGAGCTATTTCTGGTTTGACATTTCGCAGGAAATATAAGGCAAAAACAGCCAGACTGACAATAATACCTAAAAAATATTTGGACCAAAACTAATATTTATCATATCCTATTTTTCTGTAATATATCATTAAGATTAAATTGACTAAAACGACCAGCCAGGACTATAGTAAAATTTTGTAAAAGATTAAGCTCGTGTAACTCGATCACTTTTACTAATAATTACCAAAGCAATTCCAATAACAAGTACAACAATTCCGCCTGCAACTAAACTAGATACAAAATTTGCTAATGAAGGTGTCATTTCTAAAATTTCCTTTTCTTTATAATATAGTAGTGAAATTAAAATAGTAAGATTAACTACATTATATATTGTATCAAGTTTTTACAAAAAATAGAAAAATAATTTACCGAAAAGATTCTAGTTTAAAACTAATCCTCATAACTAAACAAAAATCAAACGTCAATTCTTCTAATTGTTTTTTATTCACTATTTATAATTCTCATTTGATATAAAAAATACCCATTAAAACAAACGGAATTAAGATTGTAACTATAATTTGAAATGCCCAGAACCAGATTCGAACTGGTGACACGAGGATCTTCAATCCACTGCTCTACCAACTGAGCTATCCGGGCTAGATTATATTTCTACAGATAAGATACATCAAGGATCTTAGATTGTCAACATTTCAAGTAATTAAATGAATAAGATTACTTGAAATGTTGACAATACTGATTTATTTTAGATTATTCTACTTATCCAATATATCATAATCTTCAAATTTTGTTAAATATTCATTGAATGCAAATCTTATATTTCCAATAGGTCCATTTCTTTGTTTTGCAATTGAAAGATCAATAATAGAAAATCCTGGATTTAAATTTGTAATCAAATTTTGGTTATTTTTATACAACATAAGTACTAAGTCTGCGTCTTGCTCGATAGACCCACTATCACGTAAATCAGATAACATTGGTTTTTGATCCAGTCGACTTTCGATTGTTCGACTTAACTGTGATAAAGCAATGATTGGTACATTAAATTCGCGAGCAATATTTTTTAATTCTCGAGTAATTGTGGAAATTTCTTGGGCTCTATTCGCAGTATTGAAGGTTGGATTTTCCATTAATTGTAAATAGTCAATTATTATTAAACCAATTTGCGAGTAAGTTTTATCCAAATTTTTTAACGTTCGTCGAATTTCCAAAGTACTTAAATGAGGACTATCGTACAAATGCATTGGTATTTTTCCAAGAATTCGCATAACTAAATTGATTTTCTCCCAATCTTCTTGATTTAACAATCCTGTTTTGAATTTATTTTGATTTAAGCGTGTTTCAATAGAAAGTAATCGATATAGTAATTGATGTGCCGACATTTCTAAACTAAAAAACAAAACAGGTAATCGAGTTTTTTTTAAAACATTTAACAAAAGGTTTAATCCAAAAGCTGTTTTACCGACTGAGGGTCGTCCAGCAATAATAATTAATTCAGATTTTTGAAATCCATCTGTATAGGAATCTAAACTTGGAAATCCTGAGGGAAGACCGGATAATTGACCAGGTTGTTTTAATCGTAACCATAGATCATCCACAATTTGAGTAAGTAGCTCTGCAGTAGTTCTCTCGTTTTCATTCACTTGAATGGTTGCTGTTAATTTTCGGATTTCTGCATCCAGTCCAAGCAATTGATCTGAAATGGGAAAATTCATTATAAATCCATTGTCAACAGCTTTTAATCCAATCTTAATAATACAACGACGAATATATTTTTGCTTCACAAGATGTATATAATCCAACAAATAAACGAGTGTTGGAATTTCTTTCAAAAGTTCGCTTAAAACGAATAAACCACCTATATCTTTGATTTGTCCATAACATTGAACATAATCTGAGGTTGTTAAAAAATCAATGGATCGATCTTCTTGATACATACAAATAAAAGTTTCATATAGTCGTTGATGATTTTTGAAATAGAAAGCATCAATGGGCAGATGTTCCATAATAATTTCTAACGTTTGAAATGATTCATCACAATGGACAAGTATACAACTTAATAATGTTTTTTCTAGTGTAAAACTATGAGGAAGTTGAACATTTAATTTAAGCACATTGTTTTGTTCATCACAGGTAAACAATGACTTTTTTGTTTGTTTTTTAGTTACTAAATTCTTTTGTTGTCCCCTTGTTCGGCGATTCATTGAATCTGCTGAATAGGATGCTTTATTTTTTACCATATAAAATCTTTTTTAAAATTATTGGAAGGTAAGTTTATAAATAGAAAATGATCTTGTTCTTTTTTCTTATTAGTTTTATAATTATTGTACAGCGTCCTTAGTTCAGTTGGTAGAACGCTAGTCTCCAAAATTAGATGTCGAGGGTTCGAGTCCTTCAGGGCGCGCTTCTCTTAATAAAAGAGGTTTTAATAAATACTGTTGTATAGAATTTGGTAAATGAAAAGATTTGATTCATTAAATTTATAAATAATTGTACCCGAATTTTACAATTTTAATGCATAATCTTCAAATCTCTTTTTTAAATTACATTATTAGATTTTTATGGCTAAAAAAATTACTGCCTTGATAAAACTTGCTTTACCTGCCGGAAAAGCAACACCTGCACCACCGGTGGGTCCAGCTTTAGGACAACATGGTGTAAATATTGCAGCATTTTGTAAGGAATACAATGCACGAACAAGCGATAAAACAGGGTTAGTAATTCCTGTTGAGATTTCTGTGTATGAAGATCGAAGTTATACATTTATTTTGAAAACACCTCCTGCATCTGTACTATTAGTAAATGCAGCTAAAGTGAAAAATAAAAAGGGTTCATCGGCTCCAAATAAAATAATAGTGGGTTCGATCACAAGAGCTCAATTAGAAGAAATTGCAAATATTAAGTTACCTGATTTAAATACTACTAAATTGGATAGTGCTATGAAGATTGTGGAAGGAACAGCCCGAAATATGGGTATTTCCATTGTCGATTAAATTAACCTTACATAAATTTTGCTGGAGAAAGTTATGCGAAAACTATCGCGACGTCACAAAGAAAACATTGAACAAACTAAAAATAAAATTTACTCAAATTTAGAAGAAGCAATTCAAACGTTAAAAGAAACAGCTACAACGAAATTTGTAGAAAGCGTTGAATTACATGCAAATTTAAATATTGATCCAAAGTACGCGGATCAACAATTGAGAACAACAGTAACATTACCGCATGGAATTGGAAAGGAAGTGAGAATAGCTGTTTTAACAAATGAGGAAAATTTTGAAGAAGCCACACAAGCTGGTGCTGATATTGTTGGAAATGAAGAATTAATTGCAAATATTACAAACGGAGTTCTTAATTTTGATTTGTTAATTGCAACTCCAAATATGATGCCGAAACTAGCTAAATTAGGACGTGTCCTTGGACCAAAAGGTTTAATGCCATCCCCTAAATCTGGAACAGTAAGTAGTACATTACAAGAAACGCTTGCAGATTTCAAAAAAGGAAAATTTGAATATAAAGCTGATAAAACAGGTATTGTTCATGTTACTATTGGAAAAGTAAATTTTACAGACAATCAATTACTCGAAAATTTACAAGCTTTGTATAATTCGATTGAAAAAAATCGCCCATCAGGTGTAAAAGGGAAATATTTTAAAAGTCTATTTCTTTGTACAACAATGGGCCCATCTATGAAATTAGATTTAACAAGTTTCGGATAAAAACTATTTGTATAAACTATATTAAAAAATTATTATGTCAGAAAAAATTACTCAAATTGTTGAAGAGTTAAAAACATTAACATTATTAGAAGCGGCAGAATTAGTAACAAAAATTGAAGAAACATTTGGTGTAGATGCTTCAGCTGTAGGAGGTGGTACAATGGTAATGGCGGCTGCTGCTCCAGCCGAAGAAGTAGAAGAAAAAACTGAATTTGACTTGATGTTAGATGAAGTTCCAGCTGATAAAAAGATTGCTGTATTAAAAATTGTTCGGGGTATTACAGGTCTTGGTTTAAAAGAAGCAAAAGAACTTGTCGAATCAGCACCAAAAGTTCTTCAAGAAGGAATTGCTAAAG